TATGTAGAGATTTGAAAGCAAGAACCAGAATATTATATTGAGCCCTATATCTTACAGGAAGCCAATGCAGTAAGTGACAGAGGGATGAGGCGTGGAAGGCGAGTCTCGCCGCTGCATTCATTATAGACTGTAATGGGGCAAGTTGGGAGCATGTAAGACCACTGAGAAGTGGATTGCAGTAGTCAAGGCGAGAGAGGACAGTGGCAATGACTAGCACCTTAGCCGCATCTGGCGTTAAGTAGGGGCGGATGCGCGCAATGTTTTTGAGAGGATGAGAAGAAGCTGTTGATGATCAACAGTATGAAAAGCAGCGGAAAGGTCAAGGAGAATTAGGATAGAGTAGTTACCAGGAGATTTTGCAGCAAGTAGATTGTTTGATACTTTGGTCAGAGCCGTTTCCGTGCTGAGTGCGGAAGCCAGACGGAAGTGGGTCGAGCAGAGAACTGGATTTGAGGAAGTCTGTCAGTCTCACATACACAAGTCTTTCAAGGATTTTGGATGCAAAAGGCAGTAGCGAGATAGGGCGGTAGTTGAACAGGGAGTTAGGGTCAAGGTTGGGCTTTTTTAGAATCGGAGTTACAGTTGCATGTTTGGAGGGTAAAATATGCTGGAGGAGAGGGAGAGATTGCGAATTTTAGTGAGAGGCAAAGCAAGAGAAGGAGTCAGAGTATGGATGAGTTGCAAGGGAATAGGATCAAGGGAGCAGGTGGTGGGGTGGGTGGACCAGAGCAGATCAGAAACTGATAGCAGGTGCGAATGAGCATAGAACAGCAGAGGGAGTGAGGTTGTGGGAAGTATTGTAAGGGGAAGGAGAGAGATGAGAGATCTCTTCCTTGATGCAGAGATCTTGTCAATGAAGTGAGTTGCAAAGTTTGTGGCGGTTAAGTAGGTAGGAGGAGCAACAGGGCGAAGAAGAGAATTAGAAGTGTGGAATAGTCATTTGGGTTCGCAGGAGAGTGTGGTTATGAGGGTATTGAAGCAATTTACTTTTGTAGAGGAAAGAGCCAAGCTGTAAGAGCGCAGCATAAATTTATAGTGGAGAAAGTCATATGCGGAGCAGCGTTCAGCAGTTCTGGAGCATTTTTGGAGGTATCGTGTCAGATTGGTGTGCCAAGGTTGTAGTTGGGGGCACTTGCTGCGTTTAAGTGTAGGAGGTGCCATGATGTCTAGTTGAGAGGAGAGGGTGGAATTGTAGAAGGAGATTGCAGAGCTAGGGCAGGTGAGGTTTGAGATAGGTAAAAGGAGAGTTTTTAGGTTAGTGGAGAAGTTCTCTAGGTCAAGACATTAGAGTTTTCTGTGATATTGATGTGCAGAGGGTGGTGTCAGTTGAAGCCTGGGTGTGATGATGTCAAAAGTCAGCAGATGGTGGTCAGATAGAGGAAAATGAATATTGGAGAGATTAGAGGCGGTACAGAGGGTTGGTGAAGGCGAGATCCTGCTGTATGGGTTGCTGAATTAGACCATTGGACCATTGCATGAGGCCAAAGGAGGAGGTTACAGTGAGCAGACGAGAGGCATCAGTGCAGTTGGGGTTGTTGATTGGGATATTGAAATCACCAAGTATAAGTGAAGGAGTGCTAGAGGAGAGGAAGTGAGGCAGCGAGGAAGAAAAGTACTCAATAAATAGCCTAGGATGACCAGGGGGCAGTAGATGATAGCAATTCTTAAAGGAGCATGTTTAAATAGGCAGACAGTGTGAACCTCAAAAAAAGTAAAGAATAGGGCAGGGGCAGAAGAGATTGGTTGAAAGGTATATTGAGGGGAGAGAAGGATATCTACACCACCTCCTTTACAGTTGTTTGGTCTGGGAGTATGGGAGAATTGTAGCCCAACAAAACATAAACAGGCAAGAGTAGCACTATCAGAGGGGGAAAGCCAGGTCTCTGTGAGTGCTAGTAGTGTGAGTTTGAGATGAAAAGGTCGTGTGTGGCTGTTGATTTCAGATTGCAGATAGAGCGGGCATTCCAGAGTGCACACTGAATGTTGGCAAATGAGGGTAAAGGGCAAGGTATTGTGATGAGGTTTGTGTGGTTTCTGGTTTTCTTAGTATGAGCAGAGGAGGTAAAGGGCCATGGGTTGGGAAAGACATTACCAGCTGCTAGAAGAAGGAGGAGAGATAGTGACAGGAGGTGTGAATGGGTTTTATGTGCATGGGGTCTAGGATGAGATCGATTGTGGGTAGGAGAGAGGGAGCAGAAAAATGAGTTGAGAGAAGGGGTGAGGGTAACAGAGAGGGGGAAATGTAAAGGTTGTTGGGAGGATGAGGAAAGTGGGTGTAAGGAGAGATTTTGATACTGAGGGAGAAGGAGGAAATGAAGAGGAGGAGAGAAGACAAAACACTGCTAAACTGGGAAAAAGCCAATTTGGAATTAAAAAAATGTAAAAAAAATTGGAATATCAAAAACAGGAGTAGGAAGGGTAAATATTAAGTCTTAGGAGTTAAGAAAGTGCAGGAGGGTACTGATAAGCAGAAACAGCAGGTGTACACACTGCCTCTTATCTAAAATTTGGGTGACAGGCTATCTATAAATGTAATAATGAGTTTGGGGTAGGGTGGTGAGGGGAAGGGTGGGTGTGGTGGAACCACTGCTTGCCCGGGTGCTTTATATTTACACTGTGTGTTTTTCCATTGCCCTCCATCTATTGTACCCGCTACCCGTTCAGGAGAGTCTCTATGAAAGGAACTCATTTGACTCCCGAACGGGGACCACCCTAATATCCCATTTAGAACGCAAGTAGAACGTTCTCACGTGTAGCATAGTTGTGAAACTGCAAGGGAGGCAATTAATGAGTGCTCCTCTGGGTGGCCACCATTTTGTACAGATGAACGCCAGCCGGGGGGAGCATTCGTGGATTGCTTCCCGACTCGTTCATCTCCCGAACAAGGACCACCCAGTACCCATTAGAACGCTCCCACCAATTAATTAGAACGTTTGCACTCGCTACAAGTGTGAAACCGCAATGTTTGCACTGGCAACATAAGTGTGAAACCGCAAGGGAAGTAATTAATCAGTGCTCCGCTGGGTGTCCGCCATTTCATATAGAAGAACACCAAACAGTGGGAGCATTCATAACCCGAAAGGAGACGCTCCCCTTGCAGGTTTCAACATAGAAATCTTCCAAACGGAGATTGCCCGGAGAATGTGCAAGTGTGAGGTCGCCTTTGGTTGGTGGGGGACACTTTTGGGGCACTGGCTGGTTTGGCAGGCTTTCCTGTGCCTGGGAGACAAAGGGACGGTCTATCTTCTCACGCTTTGGCTCCCAGGCACAGAGGCTCCTGGGATGAAGACCCCCCCGTCATCCTGGGTGGGAAACCCCTCGCCTGAGTGGCGGGCTTTCCATATTTGGGAGACAAAGGAACAGCGACCCCTCATTCCTGCACTTGGGCTCCCTGATGTAGAGGATCCTAGAATACGACCCCTGTTGGTGTGAGTGGGAGACCCCTTGCATGGGGCTATGCTTAAAGGGACACTATAGTCACCAGAACAACTACAGCTTATTGAATTTGTTCTGGTGAGTTGAATCATTACCTTCAGGCTTTTTACTGTAAACACTGTGCAGTGTTTACATTACAGCCTAGTGATAACTTCACTGGCCACTCCTCGGATAGCTGTTAGAGATCCTAACTGGGTCATGGCTGCCTAAAATGCATCCAAACATTCAGTGTCTCCTCCCTCTGCATGCAGACACTGAACTTTCCTCATAGAGATTAATTTATTCAATTCATCTCTATGAGGAGATGCTGATTGGCCAGGGCTGTGTTTGAATCATGCTGGCTCTGCCTTTGATCTGCCTCCTTGTGATTGGATCAGGCCACCACTTCTAATGATGTCAGCAGACAGCTTGTTTTTCTGAGGCAAACAGCATGCAGATCTACAGCTTCAGGCTTGAATAGAGTAAGAATACAGTAAGATTTTGCTATATTTATGGAGGCATGAGGGGCCAAGGAATACATGTTTATAATGGGTCTCTTTTTATTATTATAAGTGGTTCCTGAGCGGCTGAAGGAAGGAATTAGTGGAGGTAAGCAGTCGGGATACCCGTGGTCCGCTACAGTGGGAATCAGACTTTCTTGCAGCCGTAATGGGGCTGTAAGGTTTGGAAATCAGGCTGTGAAAGAAAGAGATGTGAGGGTCAGATAGGCCTGCAGTAAAGCTGAGGGAGAGGGATATGTATCTAAGCACGGAGATGAGGGGATGGTTATTCAAACAAAAACAATTGAGTTGATATCAATAAAAGAAGGGAGGTGTCGAAGGGCAAAAATCAGAGGGGAAATACTCTATGCATATATGTGAATAAAAACAATTACATACAGGGCTAATAAAACTACACTTTAGCATTACATACAAGACATAAATGTAAGAAAATATGAATGCACCAAGAACGTATAAAATAAAGTAAATTTACAGGGGCCGCCATGGTCTTCCTCCTGGTCCTTTTCAGCTCCTGACATGTGCCAGGAACCCACATCAGTGTTGTACTCTCATGCATGTGCGAGACAACAACGGTAAGGTCTACGGAGGATCCTGCTAAATTGCGGCTTCCTCAATAGATAATGCCTTTTTCCCTACAGCTTTTACTAGTAATGGATGTGGGAAACGACAAAACTGAACTCTACCTTTTGTCAAGCATAGGAAATATACTAAGACAAAGTAGACCCTAATTTGTCTAAGTATATTTTCATACAATATTATATTTAGTCAATGAGAGTATTTCATAAAAATTAAATCTTTATAGAATAATCATTTTGGTTGGGGGAAGGTATCTTTGGTATATGGATGCTATTCTTTTTGTCTAACTATGTAATACTTTGCCAATTATGACAAATGATAGTGCCTACATTTTAATGAAAACCTACCTCTTTTGGCTGTCGAATGACAGCAACTGGAGCTACTTATGAAATTTGAATTTTCATAGATCTTAACATTGGAAATGATCACATCAAAGGATAAAAGAACACATTTGACTTTAAAAATAAAATATTTATTTTACAAATTAATCTTCCTTAAAGTGTGCATACAAAAGTGTTTTAGTCATGCTATTTTTCCATTTATCATTTATTTAGAATTAGGGTTACCGTAAATTTAAGAGAATAATTACATTAAATAAAAATGTAGCGATTAAACTAAAATTTGTCATTGTGTCTAATAAATATTTTAAACTGCAACTGAATGCCAAACAGATTTTATTTTTAATCGTCAAAGTAAAATCAAACAATTTACATTGTTTTATAAACTTACTCTGCTTTGTTATACAATACTAAATTGGTACCTACATGGATTTGTTTACAATCCCTTCATGACAAAGTTTAGGTAAAAGAAGCATTAATCCTGACCATTCTGTATTAAAATAACCATGAAAACAAATAACTGAATATCTGTGAAAAAGACAGGAATATCTAATCTGGTGAAAATAATAAACACAAGAACAAAGGAATGAAAAAGTAAAACTAAGATAATAGTCACAATGTAACCATTCATAATCTAACAATAAGCGAGTGTGAGTATTCTATTTGATGCTCAAACTCCCTCACAGTAATATAGTTGCAAGAATGAGGTTTTGTGACTGGTATCTTCTTATAGACATTATTAGAGCAATGGTCGAAGGTTAAGTAGCCTTAAACTGGCTGGAAGTAAGAAAATTAACTATTCCTGTACGGTTGAAGAGAGATTTCACAACATACTGTTCCATCTTCCAGCTGTTCCAAATACTTTTGGAATCCATTTTGATGTGTTTACATGCTTTGCATCTGCCTCATGCATAAGTGCCTTTTATTGATTTAGGTAGCCATGTGAGAGTAGGATGTTGAGTCTGATAATGGCTGTGGACTAACAAGTCCCTCAATTTCTGACCCCCTAAGTGCAGTGATGATTGCATGTGGGTTGATCACTTGGTTCAGATGACCATCTTGATTCAAGAGTGGCTAAAGTGCCACACCTTAGACAATTCCCTGTACTTTGCAAGCCTTTTGCTGTTTTTTAACACATTCTTTTAACCTTTTTCCCCTTATAGTTTTTCTTTTTCCCTTTCTGTTCAGAGATATTTCTGCCTTCTGAGTAAGATTGCTGGGGATTTTCCTGGTCATTATATAAGAGAAATATTGGGGTAGTTAATTACACTACTTCCATTGAGTTTGAGAACGATTAGTGACTGTGACTGGTTAACCTTCATTGACCAATGATCTAACAAAGTCTAAAAGAAGGGGCGTGGCTTGGTCACCGGAGTGAATGGCCGCATGAGAGCTGAGCTCCGTCCAGAACAGGCCTTATAAGCAGCATCCCCGGCAGCTAAGACGACATGGCATCGAAAAAACCTCGAGCACAGGCAAACACTACCCCAGCGGTACCACTTACCACGTCCAAAACTTCCCTCCGACGGTATTTCGGAGAAAAACCGGAGCCGGAGAGCAAATCCAAGATGGCGGCGGTAGAGAAATCTCCCGCGCACAGCGCACCTTCTAGCCCTGCACCCTCAGAAAGCTCATTAGAGGGTAACGACCTAAAAACCCTACTCTCACAACTACCATCTAAACTAGATCTGGAACTGATGTTTTCCAAGATGGAGAGGAGCTTTGGGGACAAACTACAATCGCTCCACGAAGAGGTAAGCCAAATAGGCCACAGGGTACAGACACTAGAAGAAGAAGGGGAGGCAAGTGCCCTGCATCTCACAAACATACAATCCCTCCAGCAAACCCACAATGAAGCCATCCTATTCTTACAAAGAAAAATAGAGGATTTGGACAATAGAGGCAGGAGAAACAACCTCAGGATAAGGGGTTTCCCTGAAACACAGCAGGGGGAGACAGAAGATATCATACTCCTACTCACTGGCCTCTTTAACAAGATACTGGGCAGGCCTCTTGACACAGTCATTAAATTTGACCGCGCACATAGGGCGCTTAGACCTCGGGCACTGCCCCAGGACAAACCAAGGGATATTATCTGTAAAATCCACCACTTCCCACTTAAAGAAGCAATCCTGCAAAAAGCTAAGCACCTCAGAGAAATCAAACATGACGACCATAAAGTGCTGATTTTCCAAGACTTGGCACAATCGACCCTCATAGCGAGGAGAGCACTCAGACCCATAACAACAGCCCTTTCGGACATGAACATTAGATACAGATGGGCATATCCCTTTGCTCTTGTGGTCACGCAGCAAGGGACAACGTACTCTATCTCGACACCTGCGGAGGTCCAAGCCTTCCAGCAAGCCCTAAAACTACCAAAGGCCGCAGTGGAGGACTGGACTGGGCTAACACTGGGACAGACATCACACGCCTCTCAGAAAAATAAATGGCAAAGAACCCCGAAGAAGCGCAGAAGGCGTATCCCATCGGGCAATGAACAGACCACATCACCCAGAGGCACCACAAGCAGACCCACCTGAGGGATCCAATATATCCTTTATTATGTTAAGCAGACCTCTGAAGCACCTGGACGCTCTTTCTTATATGTTTGAAAGTTGTATGCCGTTTGTCGTGACTTGAATATTGATTATCATATTGTAGACTTAAACTGCCTTTCGTGCGGCCACCGCCTACACCCTCCTGGGGTTCGGGCCCTGGCTGCGCGAAATTAGGGGATAAAAACCCACATTTCAACTTTATAACGAGTTAGCATAAGAAAACACAGGCCACACTATAGGAAACGCTTTTAGAATGTTAAATTTACCAATCAGATTACAGGCCAAGTTCTGGACAACCAAGACCCCGTAACCCCCTAGAGGTGTCGCAGAGAGCACGTAGGACTCACACAGAGCCTAGCGCGCTAGACACCATCTGGTAGATGCATGTTACCCACATGCTCATTGTACATAGCATTCCAAGTTTACATCCCCCCATACACCCCTCTGACCCCCGAAGGTACAAGTGTAAGCATTACTACCCAGAGGAGACACGCCATCACCACCACCTGACCCCCAATGGCTGATCTCAAAATAATGTCCCTAAATGTCAGGGGACTTAATACTCCAGAGAAACGTACAGTACTAACCCAAGAAATAGACAGACAACGGGCTGATGTCGTTTTTTTACAGGAAACGCATTTAAAGGGGGATCAAACCCCTAAACTAAGGGCAAAAACAATAGGACAAGCATTCTTCAGCAACTATCACGGGGGCAAAGCGAGAGGAGTAGCCATCCTACTATCACCACGCATAGTCTTCACCCCGAGTGAAATCAAAACAGACCACTTGGGAAGATACCTATTTATCAAGGGCTCACTGAATAACACACTGGTGACACTAGCAACTATATATGCCCCAAATACCAAACAAGTATCATTTGCCAACTCATGTCTTAGGAAACTACACAAATTTGCTAATGGGATAATAGTTTTAGGGGGAGACTGGAACATGGTCCTAGACCACTCTATGGACAGCTCCACAACCAGTAAAGACACACAGAAACACCAAAGGGCTTTATTTCAAAGATCCCTCCATGCCCACCAGCTGGTGGACTGCTGGAGAATATCCCACCCACAGGAGAGGGACTATAGCTACTATTCACAGGTGGCCCATAGTTATTCCAGATTGGATATGTTCCTCTTAGAACATAGGCATTTACACTTGTTAAAAGAAGCATCAATTGGCCACATCACATGGTCAGACCATGCCCCGGTGTTCCTCACACTATCCCTTGCAGGAACATGCACACCCACCAACAAGTGGCGGTTAAACGAATCGCTCTTGGACGACCCAAGAGTGACTGATGACCTCAATAATTCCCTCCCTAAATACTTTCTTGAAAACAAAAACAAAGACACCGCAGACACCTGGGTATGGGAGGCACACAAAGGTATCACCCGAGGCATACTGATTAAGTGGGGTGCACGTATAAAAAAAGAACGCCAAGCAAAGATCAAATCACTCACAGAAGCAATAGCTAGAGCAGAAATAGAACATAAAACCGACTCCTCAGTGGAGGCGTATAACAAGCTAACGGCATTGAGAATGGATCTACGCAATATCCTTACGATGCAGGCACACAGAGCAGTACTCCTAACCAGGGGAACATATTATGCACACGGTAATAGGAGTGGGAAGTTCCTGGCCAGAGCCCTAAAAGAAAAGCACCAAAAAACATACATATCCCACATAAAGGCGCAAGACGGTACACGCAAAGATAAAACCGAGGACATAGCCAAAATTTTCCGGGAATACTATAGTAATCTATATAATCTAGAGCACCATAGAGGTCCTTCCCATGACATTAAAACATATATCTCCTCCCATATCCAAAAAACAATAGACTCACACCAGTCAACCATATTAGACTCCCACATCCAGCTGGAAGAATTGCAGCGAGCAATTAAAACACTTCCTAAGGGTAAAAGCCCGGGACCAGATGGCCTAACGGCCAGATATTACCAATCTTTTCAACACATCCTATCTCCCCACTATCTAGAAGTGCTTAACAATCTACTAACCACTACCGAATTACCACCCCCGATGCTGAAAGCATCAATAACAATCCTGCCAAAACCCGGCAAGGACCAGAGCCTGTGTGGTAGTTATAGACCCATCTCCCTAATTAACCTCGATGTAAAATTACTTGCAAAAATTCTTGCCAATCGACTCAAGACACTACTGCCAGACTTGGTCCATACAGACCAAGCGGGTTTCATCCCTGGAAGGGAGGCGAGAGACAATACCACAAGACTACTCAACCTCATATATGGTGCCTCTACCACCAGGGTACCGACAATACTCCTCTCGGTGGACGCTGAAAAGGCGTTCGACCGAGTAGACTGGACCTTCCTATTCACCACCCTTGAAACCCTAGGAATCGGCCCCAATTACATACGATGGGTGAGAACACTATATAAAGGACCATCAGCCACGATTGGAGTCAATGGGCAAGACTCTCCCCCCTTTGCCATAGGTAATGGCACAAGACAAGGGTGCCCTCTGTCGCCGCTACTATTCGTTCTGGTGATGGAACCATTTCTGAACGCCATCAGGGCAAATGCCAACATTAAAGGCATCAGGGCAGGAGACCAGGAAGTAAAAGTATCTGCTTTCGCAGATGACGTACTCCTAACACTCACACACCCTGAGTGCTCCCTCCCGCATCTTCAGAGCGAAATAGAACACTTCAGTACATACTCAAATTTCAAAATAAACGCTGATAAATGCGAACTAATGGGCATCAACCTAAAACCGACCCAACACAAACACATAAGCCACAACTACCCTTATCGATGGGCAAACACAGGCCTAACATATCTAGGCATCAAACTCGCACCCACAACGACAAGCCTCTATAGAATGAACTACATTCCCCTATTGGATAACATTAAATCACAACTCAAACACTGGGACAAACCCCACTTTTCCCTTTTTGGAAGAGTCAACATCATTAAGATGATGATACTACCAAAAATTTTATATACATTTCAAACACTCCCCATCGAACTCGGACGCCAGTTCTTCCACATACTGAAAAACATCTTCCTTACGTTTGTTTGGGGAAATAAAAAATCCCGACTGGCATATGACATACTCACGCGGGATAAAAAGAAAGGAGGTGTCGGGCTACCCCATATGTACAACTACTACATAGCAGTCCTTTTCACTAGACTCAGGGAATGGATAGATATAAAACACAAAAAATCGTGGTACGACATAGAACAAATACATGCACAGGCTCCTTTACCATCCCTCCCTTGGCAGACATGCCAACTTCAGCGGCTGACCACCATGACACACCCCCTTATTCCCCACATCTTAAAGAAGTGGAGATTGCACAAAAATACCTGGAAACTGTCACCGGGCATATCTCCATTATACCCGTTAAACCATAACCCGGATATATTAGGAGGCAGAGGGGCAGATACTATACTAAAACTATGGGGAATACAAAACCCACAAATAGGAGACTTGCTGACAGGAGATACACCCCCTAAAATCAAGCAACCCCAAATTCCGAGAGGCCACCATTCACTCATGGAAGCAATGAGATGCGCACAACTAAGACACACTATCACTCAAGCGGTAATACCATATTGGACCCCAAGAGGTTCAACCCCCTTTGAGCAATTATGCACGACCGCACAACCAATAAAACGCACCTTATCACAAATTTATAAACTCATCCAAACTAATGATAGGGCTCAAGAGACCCTAGCATACCAACGTAAATGGATGAAGGAACTTCACATACATATGTCACACCAGGACTGGGCATATGTCTTCACA